TCAAAATTGTACATAGTAAATGGGTTTTGAATTGTATAAAATAACATAGTCCTACACATGTAGTTTACAACTCTGAATCGACTTTTCACCCGAAACGTCCAGATTTTTGGAAAAAAAATCAAAATTATAAAACAACATTTTGAAATTTAATTTTTAATCTGCTAACCAGAATGCTTTGAAATGTTGCAGATGTTTTAAGGCTATAAAGAGCATCATAAATCTTTAGTCAAAAAATATTTGCTTATCCCCTCCAAAAACTTGATGACGTCAGCTCAAAAGTTTGTGGAATAAATCATATCTAAAATGTACAAAATATGATGAGTCTGTACTTGTGATCTATCACTCCATTCATATTTTTTGGATTTGCATATACAGGGTGACTCAAAAAAATTAATGAATGCGTAAATATATTTTATTGATTTAATCAGGAACTACAAAACCGAATGCTCTGAAATCTTGCAGATGTTTTAAGGTCATAAAGAGCATAAAAAATGTTTAGTCAAAATATATTTGCTTATCCCTCCAAAAACTTGATGACGTCAGCTCGAAAGTTTGCCGAATAAATCATATCTAAAATGTACAAAATATGATCAGTCTGTACTTGTGATCTATCACTCCATTCATATTTTTTGGATTTGCATATACAGAGTGACTCAAAAAAATTAATGAATGCGCAAATATATTTTATTGATTTAATCAGGAACTACAAAACGGAATGCTCTGACATCTTGCAGATGTTTTAAGGTTATAAAGAGCATAATAAATGTTTAGTCAAAATATATTTGCTTATCCCCTCCAAAAACTTGATGACGTCAGCTCGAAAGTTTGCCGAATAAATCATATCTAAAATGTACAAAATATGATGAGCCTGTACTTGTCATTTATCACTCCATTCATATTTTTTGGATTTGCATATACAGAGTGACTCAAAAAAATTAATGAATGCGTAAATATATTTTATTGATTTAATCAGGAACTACAAAACGGAATGCTCTGACATCTTGCAGATGTTTTAAGGTTATAAAGAGCATAATAAATGTTTAGTCAAAATATATTTGCTTATCCCCTCCAAAAACTTGATGACGTCAGCTCGAAAATTTGCCGAATAACTCATATCTAAAATGCACAAAATATGATCAGTCTGTACTTGTGATCTATCACTCCATTCATATTTTTTGGATTTGCATATACAGGGTGATTCAAGAAAATAAATGAAAGCGTAAATTTATTTTACTGATTTACTCAGGAACTACAAAACCGAATGCTTCGAAATCTTGAAGATATTTTAAAATTATCATAAGTATGGTAAATTTTTGATCAAAATGTATTTGGTCGTCCCCCCTAAAAAATTTATGACGTCACCCCAAAATTTTGCTGAAAAAATGCCATCTTCAATGTGTAAAGTATGATGAGTCCATACTTGTGATTTATCACTGCATTAAAATTTTTAATATTTGCTTATACAGGGTGTCTGAAAAAAATTAATGACGGAGTGAATTGATTTTGCAAAACTGAATACTTAGAAATCTTGACGTTTTGAAGTTATTGTAAGCGTGGTAACTGTTTAATCAAAATGTATCTCTTTATCAACCCCAAAAAAAATTCATTACGTCTTCTCACAATTTTGCTGAATAAAGTAGATGATCTGACTATACTTTTAAAATTTTTAATATTTGCTTATACAGGGTGTCTGAAAAAAATTAATGACGGAGTGAATTGATTTTGCAAAACTGAATACTTAGAAATCTTGACGTTTTGAAGTTATTGTAAGCATGGTAACTGTTTAATCAAAATGTATCTCTTCATCAACCCCAAAAAAAATTCATTACGTCCTCTCAGAATTTTGCTGAATAATGTATATGATCTGACTATACTTGTAAAATTTTTGATATTTGCTTATACAGGGTGTCTGAAAAAAATTAATGACGGAGTGAATTGATTTTGCAAAACTGAATACTTAGAAATCTTGACGTTTTGAAGTTATTGTAAGCATGGTAACTGTTTAATCAAAATGTATCTCTTTATCAACCCCAAAAAAAATTCATTACGTCTTCTCACAATTTTACTGAATAAAGTATATGATCTGACTACACTTGTAACTAATCATTGCATTCAAATTTTTTAACTTGCTTATACAGGGTGACTCAAAAAAAGAAATGAATCAGTCACTTTATTTTAGCGAATAAATCAAGAATTGCTAAACTGAATATTTTGAAATCTTGCAGATGGTTAAAATTGATTGTGAGCATGGTAAATTGTTAATGAAAATATATCTGTTTATTCCCCCGAAAAAATTCATGACGTCATCTACAATTTTTGCCAAAAAAGTTTAACTCAAAATGTGCAAAATATGATGAGTTTTAACATAAGCAACTGTGGCCTGTGGTTTAGTGGAGGTGGAGTGTGCAGTGCAATTAGAAGTTCCGGTAACAGATCCCGGCACTTCCAACTTTTTTCGCCCATCAAATCAAGAACAGCACTTCCGATTTTCGCAACAATAATGTTATAATATTTATTTATTTGTTATTGTGTGTTCGTGAATAAGCACCATAAATAGCAAATGTTGAAATTTTTTTTTGTGATCGGAAGAATATCTCTTAATCATTTTATATATTGTCAATACATGATTAACTTCGACTGTTAATGTTTATACATCGAGAGAAGCAGAGAAAAAGTACATACGCATTTGCTTCAGTTACGCCACTGACCGTGTCATTTCTTTATCGCACGTTGAGACATAGTTTATATAAACAAACTCCCAGCCATAGCAAAAAGCGGAAGTTGGAAACGACGAGCGGCGCGGGGTTTGGGTGGCGAGACGAAACAGTTGCGATTGCGAAATGCGAAGCCAATTCGAAAAAAACTGTTGAAGAGTGAATGTCATTGAGGATATATATCTCCAAATTTTAAAAATTGGACCAAGTTACAATAATTGTTGCCTGGTAAGTGCAGATATTTTGGATTTGCATATACGGGGTGATTCAAGAAAATAAATGAAAGCGTAAATTTATTTTACTGATTTACTCAGGAACTACAAAACCGAATGCTTCGAAATCTTGAAGATATTTTAAAATTATCATAAGCATGGTAAATTTTTGATCAAAACGTATTTGGTCGTCCCCCCTAAAAAATTTATGACGTCACCACAAAATTTTGCTGAATAAATCCTATCTAAAATGTACAAAATATGGTGAGTCTCTTCTTGTAATTTGTCATTCCATTCAAATTTTTTCGATTTGCATAAACAGGGTGACTCAAAAAAATTAATGAAGGCGTGAATTTATTTTATCGATTTAATCAGGAATTACAAAACCGAATGCTTTGAAATATTGGGAATATTCTAAAGTTATTATAAGCATGGTAAACTTTTGTTCAAAATGTATTTGTTCATCCCTCCTAAAAAAATTGATGACGTCACCCTTAAATTTTGCTGAATAAATCCTATCTAAAATGCAAAAAATATGATGAGTTTGTACTTGTGATTTATCATTCCATTCATATTTTTTAGATTTTCTTAAGAGGTGGTTCAAAAAAATTAATGAAGTCAATTTATTTTATTGATTAAATTAAAGGCAACACTTATTATTAGTATTACACCCCAACCAACCCAATTTGGTAGACAAAAAATTTGTTAAAGGAAAAACTCGGTTGAAACATAAGGGTAGCATGCTTATTTACATTGACTTTAACATTACATACCTGCATTTGTTTTATGCGTTCACTTGGTTCCGCGAATGTGAAATAGACATGTTTATAATCAACCAATTGTGAATTTCACCGCCAAGAATTAAAATAAAACCCAATGTTTTATATAATAAGCGGAAGTCGAAGCAATAAAACCGATGGTCGTTTTGTTTACAGTTTCTCTGTTTGACTTTCAAGTATGCTGTTACGCCTGTCATCTTAAATTAAGAATGTTTATACATACACGATTTTCAGCTGCCTGGGATACGTATACGTGAGTAAATTGTTTCGTTATTTTATTTGTTATTACAAATCAATATTCAAAACGACCCAATTCATTTTCCCGAAAATTTGAGAATATAATAATTTTATTCTTAGTATTACACTACATCTATCCCAAACTGATATACGTGTCCTTGCAAAAATGTTGATGACGTCATCGCAATTTTTTTTTAAATTCCCACTACAAAAATGTAATGAGAAAAAACACAATAGGCATGCAGTCGTCAAGTTTCCGACAGCGAGGGAAGTACTGTCTAAACTCTTTAGACCAATTTTTTTTTGGTTGCGCCTGGACCTTTATCATTCATCATGTTGTCTCTACATTCATAATACGCTTATATTCAGAAATATTAAACCTCTTAAATATACTTACCTGTTGAGAAATTGCATTTGCTGCATTGCATGTAGAAGTGAGGTTATGTAGGTTTAGTACTGTTTTCTTGACAAAACGGTATTTACTACACTATTCTGAATTTATCGCAGTACCGATAATCACAATTCACAATAGGACAAACACCATGAACTTACACAAAATATTTTTTGAACCACCAACAATAACAGAAAATATGTATATGTTGCACATTGCGCAAACGCGTTCCAGCAGAGCAAGCGCATCTGTAGGTGAAACGCAAATTTAAGTAAGTTTTATAAAAATGATGAATACAATTGTTATTTTTTGTTCGCAAAAATAAAAAAAATATTACTATTTAATGAACAATTAATAGTGTGCAAAACGAGAATTCGAATAGTGTCAATTTCACAATAGCTAGTAATTTTTCAAATCAATTTTTAATATTGCTCCAATAAAAACCCTATGAAATAAATTACCTACAAGTTGTCCCAACATGGTACTTTTTTAATTTTTTTTTTGTTCGGTATCTTGATAAAAAGACATTTCATAAATATGTAATATATGTTGAAATTCATATATAAATTTATAAACATAAAATGAATATTATATAAATATTTGTAATATCTAGTCAACATTTAATATTATATCAATCTTGTATAAATATTAGAAAAATATTGCTTGCTACTGGGGAAGTTACTTTATTGACATGGAATAGATACAAAAGTAAACTATAAATAATAATAAGTATTCATGTTGCACAACGTCTTCGTCTGACCAGTGATCTGTATACTTGGCCAGTGAAGTGATAGTGTGATTATAAAAGACATCAGCAGAACATGCCGCTAGTACAATCAATTAGGATGGTAATGGAAAATAACCTACATGTTACAGTGGCTAAATGCCTTCTGCAGTATTAGAATCTTCACTGTCATAATCACTAAAACCATAATCTGAATCTTCGTTAATGTCGATTATAAGCGGCGCAATCTCTTCACGGTCAAATACTAATTCCCGTTCCCACCACTCCCGTATTATTTTATTCATATGGTCAACAGTATTTTTCTACATTGTGGGCGTGACATGTGCTAACGCTTCTTTCCACATTTCCACGGAATTTTTTTGACCATAACCATCACGCCCAATGTGTTTGGAATAAAAATTTGTAGTAAATCCCCAAATATTTTCTATAGGGTTAAACACACAATGATATGGCGGCAATCGCAATACTCTATGGCCATTCTGTTGGCCCAATTCACGGCAACATACGTTTTTGGCAGTTTATTTCTGAAAAACATGATATTTTAAATGAAACGATTGAGAATAGTATATGCATTACTGTGCAACCAAATGAAGAAGTTCCGTTTTTAACTTCTGTGAATCTGAACTTATGTCATGTTGTTAAAGCCATTCACGAATTTCTCCTTTTTTCCATGAACCACTGGGACATTTGTTTGCAAGGGTACTGTGGTATAATAATCAGTGATGATTCATAGTCTGGATTTTTGGTATTAGAAGAAAATACTAGCGCTGCTTCATCAATAAATCCATTGCTTGTACCTGCATGTAATACAATATACCTAAAATATAGTGAGAAGAATAAATAACTAACGTGAAACTGACACATTACTAAATTTTCCCTTCTATTTTGAACATCCTGATACTTTTGACACTATCGTCTTGCAATGACCTAACTACCGAACCATTTTCAAATATCCATGTTTCATCAAGATATACACATGGCAAAGAATTTGGGTTCTGCTGATTGTGCATGTATTCACGTAAGAATTTGGTTCTTGCATGAACAACATGTTGTAATTCCATAAGACGCTTCCGTACACTGGTTGGCGAATAACGAAACCCAATAGAGAATGTAAAATTTTTCCGAACGAGCTCACAGAACCTGTGGCGTTGCGCCGCAGGCTTCTCGAAGGACCGTATAACCGTGTCGTACACGGTACGAACACGGCAAGAAAAGAGTGTTGTTTTATAACTATATATTAATAGTGTGTAAATGTGTGTACAGTTTGTCGACCGATCGCGTGTACTGCGAGGTGCGTTCTGTCTTCGGGTCCGTACCACCCCGGTGCCGTCGAAGGGTGGGTGGTGGGGTTGTACCGCTCTTGTGCAGGGCTGTACTGCGCATTCCGGCCCCCCTTGAACCTGTGGTCTCAAACCTGGGTGTCGTCGTCGATGGGGAACGGGCAGATTCGGTTTGTGGCCCGCACGACAGGTCCCGATGATGTCCTGATGGTGGCTGTCCGGACGATCCCATCTTTTCCTGGATGTGTCTGCATGACGACTCCCATTCGCCAGCACATCGGATGGAGATTGTCTTCGCGTAGTAGAACGGGAAGTCCTGGCTTCACCTCTGTTTTAGCAGTGCGATTCCACTTCTTTCTTTGTTGCAGCGTGTTTAGGAACTCCCCTGACCAGCGCTTCCAAAAGCTTTGCGCCTGTTGTTGGACGCGTTGCCACCGTGACAGGCGATTCTCTTTCACCATTGTAACATCGTCTTCGACTGAGGTTGTTAATTTTCCGCCGATGAGGAAATGCCCAGGAGTTAAGGCCGTGAGATCGCTCGGGTCAGAGGATAATGGAGTCAGGGGTTGGGAGTTGATGCATGCTTCAATCTGCGTCAAAGGCGTATAGAGCTCCTCATACGTCAATAAAGCATTACCCGCAACACGTTTTAAATGATATTTTATTAACAATGGAAGTACGTTGTCATTGGTCACCACCAAAAGTTTCAACTTGGCGCATTTTTCTAAAATTGGTACATTTTGTGCATTTGAACTAAAGAATGAAGCTGGCCATTCTGACTTATTTTTTGATAACCAATGTGGACCGTGCCACCACAAATCAGACGTAATAAGTTTACTAGGTAATTCACCTCTTGAGACAATGTCTGCAGGGTTATCAGCAGATTTAACGTGATGCCAATTAGAAATACTCGTTAATGTGCTTATTTCAGCAACGCGATTTGCAACGAAAACGTTCCAGGTACTTGGCGATGATGCTAACCAAGATAACACTATTGATGAATCTGTCCACAAATACTGCGTTGTTATGTTTAGATTTATTGTAGGTAATAATTTGTGTATTAAGCGGGCTAACAGCACGGCTGCGCAAAGTTCTAGTCGAGGCAGTGTGATAGTTTTTAATGGAATTATTATTATGTTTATTGATATCTATGCTATGTGTTTTGTTTACTGATATTTGTTGCATTGATTCCAAAAGTTCGCAACGTTTTTCTAAAAATGAAATCAGATCCGTCAATTTTGGTATTTCACTATTTAATGTTGCCTGCCATTCTTTGCGACTTGTATAGTCTAATTTTTCTACAATTAATGGAACAATTAATGCATCCCAACTTTCTACGGGTAATTTTTGTATGCGAAGTGCTTCAATGTTTGTCGTAACGTCGACACATAATTTTCTCAGAGCTACAGAATTTGTTTTAAGGATAACAGGACTATTAATGATAGCTAAAATATGTTCTTGAGTAATTAGTCTTACGTTATTGTATCTTTTTCTTAACAAGTCATAGGCCGATTTGTAATTATCTACCGAAATAGTGAGAGCGTCAATTGTCGCTAACGCTTCTCCCTTCAATGAGGATTTTAAATAGTGAAATTTTTGGCAGTTATTTAAACTATTGTTCTGATCAATTAACGAGCAAAATGTGTCGTTGAATGACAGCCATTCCGAATATAAACCTGAAAATGTTGGTAAATTTAACGTAGGAAGTTTGATGGACGTTTCTAAGTGATGATTATTGTTAGGATTACTATTATTTTGACTAGACGCCGATGAAGGTGAGTATTTATTTAATTTTTCCCGAATGTCAACTATTATGTTGTAATACTGTGTCTCGATAATTTCGCGATCGTTATCTGCGTTGTCTTGCAACTCAATTTGAGTTTGATAACTTTCGTATTCTTTGATCACGTTTTCTAATGTTTCTAACCGTACTTCAAGGTGATAAACGCTATCTGTATTTTTGAAATTTTTAACGAAGTTCTCAATGCGAGTAATTTTGGATTTAGCGATTCCTCGCCTGGAGCGTAATTCGGCTACCGTTTCTACAGTCATTTTAATGAAGTAAATGGGATTTTTTGAATCGAATTATGCGTTATTGATATACGAGAACGCGGTACACGCAGATTGGCGCAGATTGAAATAAATATGCATACAGGGTAATAGGACTTACTTGGATTGTAGATTGTAGATTTGATGTTTCTTGATTCGATGATTTGTTTGATCGCTGTTCTATCCGGCTCGAAGGACCAAATGTGGCGTTGCGCCGCAGGCTTCTCGAAGGACCGTATAACCGTGTCGTACACGGTACGAACACGGCAAGAAAAGAGTGTTGTTTTATAACTATATATTAATAGTGTGTAAATGTGTGTACAGTTTGTCGACCGATCGCGTGTACTGCGAGGTGCGTTCTGTCTTCGGGCCCGTACCACCCCGGTGCCGTCGAAGGGTGGGTGGTGGGGTTGTACCGCTCTTGTGCAGGGCTGTACTGCGCAGAACCCTCAAATATATGTTTCTCCTTCAAGCAATCAATTAATGGCGATCGTGTAACATGTATTTCTGTAAAATAATCGTTAGTATCTATAAGGCGTGCGCATCAAATTCATACTTTTTTCGACCATTCCATATAAGCACTCTCGAATAGCACACTGCTCCGAAGTGCTAATATCACACACTTGCTTTGTTCGGGGGTCTCTATTTCTTGGGAGAATGTACACCTCCGGTTTTTATTTGTTGTACCACGGAGTTCACTGTTCGCACACATACACCCAGAGCAGCAGCAACCAGTGTTGCCAACTAAGCGATTTTGTCGCTAGATTTAGTGATTTTCAGAGGCGACCGGCGACTTTGAAAATGAATTTGAGACATGTCTCAAATTTAGCGATTTCTGGTATCCATTTGGAGACTTTTAGCGACTTTGACACGACTTTATTATTTTTAGTTTTTATTCGCCTAACAATTAAAATTATTATAGTTGCGTCGTTGGTTGCGCCAGGTGGTACTTTCGACACGGCGAAGTCGAAGGTCATGCTGGAGGCAATGGCGATACCACAAACACCTAGTGAATTGTGAATTGTCAAATGTAAAATGAAATGTTGCTGAGTTAGAGTAGCTTCCAACGCGAAAGGTGACAGCAGGTGGGAGTGCGCAGAACACAGTTTTGGTTCGGTCTTACAAATATCGTGGAAACAGTGACGGCGGCGATAGAATTGGTATAGTGTATAATCCTAAACGATATTTCATTTTCAAAAAAAAAAACTGTTATTGCGCATAACACTTGAAAGAAACTACAAAGTTTTGTTTGACCTGAAAATTTATTAACTGTTATCAATTTTATCACAATCCTAAGTACCGTTAGTTTAAAAAAAATGTTTAGTAAGAATTTCAAATTTACGAATTGGTATTTGGGGCCATTTAGCGACTTTTTAGTGATTTTACGTCTCTTCCATTGAGACAACTAATTTGTAGCTATTGGCAACCCTGGCAGCAACCCTCTGTACAATCTGACTGCATTACTTATTGTAATAAAATACACCTACTTACGTCTTGAACAGCTGTTAGTGGTAAAAGAGGTCCCCCGCTATCGCGTTCTTTAGTAAAATAGTCCACTAAATTATCGTCCATTTGCTTTACATCTTTGTGCAAGGGCTTCGGCATGGTGGAATGTTTACGTTCAAGCAAGCGACACGTACCACGGTATACGACAGTTAACTTGGAGTTCTAAAAAGAACTGTTATAGTTCTGAAAAGAACTGATACGATTACACGAGCAGAAAAGTAGAAAAATGCGAAAAATCAAACAATAACACAACATAACCAAAGTTGACACCAATGACACCTGTGAAATCGATAAAACTTTAGCATATGTTTCGCTATCAGTCGTACCAATATAATTTCCCCCAAATTGATCGATTTTGATCCGTATTGCCACGTATTGCGGCGCGTATTTTTGATTTAGTGTTGGTAACGGATTTACGTTATCCATGACGTGTACGCATTGCTTCGTGATCCTGAGTATAACCAGAATGCTTTGAAATGTTGCAGATGTTTTAAGGCTATAAATCATAAATCTTTAGTCAAAAAATATTTGCTTATCCTCTCCAAAAACTTGATGACGTCAGCTCAAAAGTTTGTGGAATAAATCATATCTAAAATGTACAAAATATGATGAGTCTGTACTTGTGATCTATCACTCCATTCATATTTTTTGGATTTGCATATACAGGGTGACTCAAAAAAATTAATGAATGCGTAAATTTGTTTTACTGATTTACTCAGAAACTACAAAACCGAATGCTTTGAAATCTTGCAGATGTTTTAAGGTTATAAAGAGCATAATTAATGTTTAGTCAAAATATATTTGCTTATACCCTCCAAAAAATTGATGACGTCAGCTCGAAAATTTGCCGAATAAATCCTATCTAAACTGTAAAAATATGATGAGTCTGTACTTGTAATTTATCACTCCATTCACATTTTTTGGATTTGCATATACAGGCTGACTCAAAAAAATTAATAAATGCGTAAATATATTTTATTGATTTAATCAGGAACTACAATACCGAATGCTCTGAAATTATGCAGATCTTTTAAGGTCATAAAGAGCATAATAAATGTTTAGTCAAAATATATTTGCTTATCCCCTCCAAAAACTTGATGACGTCAGCTCGAAAGTTTGCCGAATAAATCATATCTAAAATGTACAAAATATGATGAGTCTGTACTTGTTATTTATCACTCCATTCATATTTTTTGGATTTGCATATACAGAGTGACTCAAAAAAATTAATGAATGCGTAAATATATTTTATTGATTTAATCAGGAACTACAAAACGGAATGCTCTGACATCTTGCAGATGTTTTAAGGTTATAAAGAGCATAATAAATGTTTAGTCAAAATATATTTGCTTATCCCCTCCAAAAACTTGATGACGTCAGCTCGAAAATTTGCCGAATAAATCATATCTAAAATGTACAAAATATGATCAGTCTGTACTTGTGATCTATCACTCCATTCATATTTTTTGGATTTGCATATACAGGGTGATTCAAGAAAATAAATGAAAGCGTAAATTTATTTTACTGATTTACTCAGGAACTACAAAACCGAATGCTTCGAAATCTTGAAGATATTTTAAAATTATCATAAGCATGGTAAATTTTTGATCAAAATGTATTTAGTCGTCCCCCCTAAAAAATTTATGACGTCATCACAAAATTTTGCTGAATAAATCCTATCTAAAATGTACAAAATATGGTGAGTCTCTTCTTGTGATTTATCATTCCATTCAAATTTTTTCGATTTGCATATACAGGGTGACTCAAAAAAATTAATGAATGCGTAAATTTATTTTATTGATTTAATCAGAAACTACAAAACCGAATGCTTTGAAATCTTGCAGATGTTTTAAGGTTATAAAGAGCATAATAAATTTTTAGTCAAAATAGATTTGGTTATCTTCTACAAAAAACTGATGACGTCAGCTCAAAAGTTTGCCGAATAAATCGTATCTAAAATGTACAAAATATGATGAGTCTGTACTTGTGATTTATCATTCCATTCATATTTTTGGATTTGCATATGCAGGGTGACTCAAAAAAATTAATGAAGGCGTGAATTTATTTTATCGATTTAATCAGGAATTACAAAACCGAATGCTTTGAAATCTTGGGAATATTTTAAAGTTATTATAAGCATGGTAAACTTTTCTTCAAAATGTATTTGTGCATCCCTCCTAAAAAAATTGATGACGTCACCCTTAAATTTTGCTGAATAAATCCTATCTAAAATGCAAAAAATATGATGAGTTTGTACTTGTGATTTATCATTCCATTCATATTTTTTAGATTTTCTTAAGAGGTGGTTCAAAAAAATTAACGAAGTCAATTTATTTTATTGATTAAATTAAAGGCAACACTTATTATTAGTATTACACCCCAACCAACCCAATTTGGTAGACACAAAATTTGTTAAAGGAAAAACTCGGTTGAAACATAAGGGTAGCACGCTTATTTACATCGACTTTAACATTACAGACCTGCATTTGTTTTATGCGCTCACTTGGTTCCGCGAATGTGAAATAGACATATTTATAATCAACCAATTGTGAATTTCACCGTCAAGAATTAAAATAAAACCCAATGTTTTATACAGGGTTAGTCACGAGAGAATTCTGAAAATTATTTTTACGCAACCCAAAATACTAATACCCTGTACCACTTGATATTATCTAAATTTAAAATGAAATGCCTAATCCATGATTGCTTTGACTTTGGCAGTGTCACTTTGACGTTAATTAATTTTTAACATTTTTTTTCATCGTTGACTCGCCTTTAGAGCCCCATTGGATCGACGACATACAGTCAGATCAATCTGGGCTATACTGAAGCCGTAAGTGCTCTTCCAATGTTCGCCGCTAATGTGCATGTGTTAATTCGCCATCTCTGCGTCACCTAGAGCCTCTTCGAAGTGCAAATCTGCAACCTCTGGACTTCTTCGGCCATCCATTTACAAAAAAGCCGTAGCATCCCCCCAAAATGCCCAACATTTTCAACAGATTAGTAGTTAAATTATTTACTTACTTGTTTGAGTTTGTGTTGTAACCTTTGAATAAAATGCCGTAAAAGGAATTTTTAGAAATAATTTTCTCGTGATTAATTGATTGCAAAAGATCAAGAGGCACACTGACAAATTTATTAGCGGCGCCGAAGGAGATTTCTGCCTGCCTGCGGTACCACCATGGACACTCACGTAACCTCCTTTTCCACAATTGTCAAAATGAGATTGCCAAACTCAAAGCATTCATGGATTAAGCATTTCATTTTAAATTCAGTTAGTATCAAATGGTACATGGTATTCGTATTTTGGGTTGCGTAAAAATAATTTTCAGAAGTAATTCTCTCGTGACTAACCCTGTATAATAAGCGGAAGTCGAAGCAAAAAAACCGATGGTCGTTTTGTTTACAGTTTCTCTGTTTGACTCTCACGTATGCTCTTACGCTTGTCATCTTAAATTAAGAATGTTTATACATAAACGATTTTCAGTTGCCTTTCATATAATATTACACACCGGGCCGTATACGTGAGTAAATTGTTATACGTGAGTAAATTGTTTCGTTATTTTATTGAGTATAAGAAATCAATATTCAAAACGACCCAATTCATTTTCCCGAAAATACTATAATTTTATTCTTAGTATTACACTACATCTATCCCAACTGATATACGTGTCCTTGCAAAAATCTTGATGACGTCATCACAATTTTTTTTTAAATTCCCACTACAAAAGTGTAATGAGAAAAAAAAAACACAATAGGCATGCAGTCGTCAAGTTTCCGACAGCGAGGGAAGTACTGTCTAAACTCTTTAGACCAATTTTTTTAATCCAGATTTAGGTGGAATCGGTATTTTGGGTTGCCAATGTTAAAAACATAAATATCTAATCTTAGCTGAATAACCCTGTATGACCGAATGCTTTGAAATCTTGAAGATGTTTTAAGGTTATAAAGGGCATAATAAATTGTTACTTAAAATATTTTTGCTTATCCCCTCCAAAAAACTAATGACGTCAGCTCAAAAGTTTGCTGAAAAAATCCTATCTAAAATGTACAAAATATGATGAGTATTGATGAGTTTCTACTTGTGATTTATCATTCCATTAATATTTTTTGGATTTGCATATACAGGGTGACCCAAAAAAATTAATGAATGCGTAAATTTATTTTATTGATTTACTCAGGAACTACAAAACCGAATAATTTGAAATCTACTGCGAAAAAAAAAAACATAATACGCATGCAGTTGTCACGTTTTCGACAGCGAGGGAAGTACTGTCTAAACCTTTTAGACCAATTTTTGTAATTCTATTGGATGTGGCAAAACATTCACTAATAAAATCACAATCTGTTTTTCTGCTCTGTTACAACTTCTTGTCAGCCCAAACAACGAATCAATAGTTGGTGATAATGGGTCTACGATAATCAACTTTAACGGATCCCAATAAGTGACTAAGGCCTGACATAATTTGCGACAGTTAGGTGAGGATGAGAAAACAAACAAGGGATATCCATTATAGTTAGTATCAAGAACAGTACTCCCTCCTAACTGTCGTTTTCAGGCTGAAATTTAGCAACTGTGTATTTTAAATGAAGTAAAAATATATGTTGCTGCAAAAAATTCGGTGGCTACTTGAGAGAGACAGATAATTATGGAGATAAATACGACACCCTTGTCAAGTTGATCAACAAATTGAAACAAATAAGATAATTCGAAAATAACATGTTATCATTTCTCAGTACTACTTATTAGTGATTTCCAATATCGTAAAAACCCGATTATAGCAAAATGAGCTCAGTTGACGTCGTGCAAAATTAAGAGGACTTGTTTATAAAGAAAACAATGAAAAGAAACATCAATTCATAATGTTATCGTGTACTTTAAGAACAAAGGCAAAATATAGATTTTATCTACCACGAAATTTGTCTAAAGTTACATATTTGTTTAATTCACTATCTTATCGTGTACTTATGGAAATAAGCCAAAATATAGATTTTATCTACAAAAAATTGCACTAAAGTTATTTATTCCCTTGAAGTACAGGTGAATAAATACAGACTCATCATATTTTGCACAATTTAGATAGGATTTATTACCGCAAAATTTAAAGGTGACGTCATCATATTATTGGTGGGGCTGATTAGGCAAATTTTGGTTAGCGTTTTACCATCTATATGATATCTATCTATATAATAAAAAATTGGTCTAAAGAGTTTAGACAGTACTTCCCTCGCTGTCGGAAACTTGACGACTGCATGGCTATTGTGTTTT